TTGTACGCCTTCTCTCCAATTAATGAGCCTTTGTGAATTGATTTTTCAGCAAACCTTCTATAGAAAGTAGAGTTTATGTGTTCTTTTTAACAATCCATAAAGTCCCAAGTTATTTGTGTTCCACAATTGACCTATTTTTACAGAATTATATGTGTCAAAGGAAAAAAGAAAGCAGAGCGATATAATAGAAGGTACATGTGGTTTGGTTTAGAATCCGTTCTGAACTTTTGGCTCCTCCGCCTATTATCTAAGGGACCTTATACAAGGCACTTCAGCTCTTGAAGCCTCAGCTGCCACCTCTTTGGAGGTCACAAAAGAATACCTCTCACAACTGAGATGATGAGGTGTGACAATGTACGTGATTCTCTCAGCATGTGGAAGGCAAGTTAATATTGAAGAGCCGCAGGACAAATCAGCTGATCTCATCCCTTCGGCTTAGAAATACCACCTTTCTTTTGAATCCTGTTCCTCCTACTGGATTTTCCTGCAAGTGAACACCACTGTACATCCCCTGGAAACCCAGGAGACATGCGTTTCCCTCACCCTCCACGATCAAGTCATATAAACTCTAGTCTCTAAACAGGTCTTAAATCTGTGGATGGACTGCTTTTCTCATCCTCTTTCACGACCCAACAACACCAGCCTCTCTAGCTTAGATGATCCTCTTCACTGAGTTTCCTGCCCCAGTTTTGCTGCCCTCTCATCCATTCTTGACACCAGCCTAGCAAATCTTACCATCTCAGTTCTTCAGTCGTCCCCTTACATCAGGAAAAGCTCACACAATTTCTTAATATAACCTGTAACACACTTCACGAAATACACTCTGCTTACTTCCCAGGCTTCTCTCTTGCTGCTCCTCTGCTCCCCTCTGGTCCAGCACTTGAAAGAAACTACCCTCCATTCAGGACTTGTAACTCTCAGACACACTCCCTTTCACCTCCAAACACAGGCCACTGCACGTTTGTGCTTCCTCCTGGCTGGAATGCTCTTCATCCAAGGCTTCTCTTCACTTGGGCAACAACTACTGAAAACTGAAGTTTTGGCACAGATAATACCTTGTTTGGGATGCACTTTTTTTTTTCACTTGATGGTATCCTAAGTATGTAGGATTGCCTGTAGGGAGTCTGACTGGATCGCCGAGAGTCACACAGGTTGGAGGTGGTGGTGTCAGAAGACACAGGCCTCCTGCCACGTGTTGCAGTGTCCCTCTTCCTCCATCATGCTGACACCAGCCTTATCTATCTGCATCGCATTTGCTGTCTTCATTAAGACTTAGATACATTATTTTCACGTGGTTTCAAAATGTTGTACATTTATATTGTGGGTTATGGTTTTGCGCCTAAAACAGACCAGCGTCACCTCCTCTCCAAAGCCTTCTTTGACTCTCCTAGTAAGTGGAAGTCATGGCTTCAGTGCTCTTGTGGCATTTGCAAACATTCCTGCAACAGTTTTCAGACTTATCTTCTTTCTCATGATGTTGTGAATGCTTTTGAAACTAGGACTATATTGGATTCATTTTACATCTCTGGTACCCAGGACTGCTCTTGGGACAGAGAAGCACTGAGTATTTGTTGAACTTAATTGCACTCCAGAGCTGAAAAATGTCCAGATTAGGGCAAGTAAAGACATGCCACAAAAAAAAAAAAAAAAAAAAAAGGATGCAAGTATTTAAAAAAAAGGGGGGGGGGAGAAACTGAGATGATGGCTCTCCCTTCTGGAGATACAGAGTTTAAGATAAGGCCTGGCTCTGACTAACATAAAGACCAAGAAGGCAATAAAGAAAATGGTGCAACTATAGGAATAGATGTCCTGTCCAGGTGAGTACCAGCAATCCCTCAGTGACTCTCCTGCCTTTTTTCACTCAGGACAGAGAACTGGAGTTGGGAAGGAAGACGCTCTTACTTTCACAAAGCTGGACACTTAAGAGCACTTTCTATGCCTGCTCTGGAAGCCTGAAGTCAGCGCTAGAAAAGCTGGTTTCACTCAAGCCTGTAATCCCAGAACTTTGAGAGGCCGAGGTGGGCGGATCACGAGGTCAGAAAATTGAGACCACCCTGGCTGACACAGTGAAACCCCATCTCTACAAAAAATTAGCCAGGCGTGGTGGCGGGTGCCTGTAGTCCCAGTCACTCGGGAGGCTGAGGCAGGAGAATGGCTTGAACCTGGGAGGTGGAGCTTGCAGTGAGCCAGATGAGGCCACTGCACTCCAGCCTGGGCGACAGAGAGAGACTCCATTAAAAAAAAAAAAAAAAGAAAGAAAAAAAGAAAGAAAGAAAGAAAAGCTGGTTTCACAAGTATTACAGGTTCCTGGCAGAATTAGAATCATTCAATTGTGATAGAAATGAAACCAAGCTTGGGGCAAGAATTCAACTGTTACTCCTGGTCTTCTCCTGGGGCCTTGGGCAAATCTCTGAGTTTAATTCCCTCCTTCATTCAATTGTGATAGAAATGAAACAAAGCTTGGGGCAAGAATTCAACTGTTAGTCCTGGTCTTCTCCTGGGGCCTTGGGCAAATCTCTGAGTTTAATTCCCTCCTTTGCAAAATAAGCGGTTTGAACTAGATGATCTCCAACAGCTTTTTCTGGTTCAGGAAATCTGCAATTTATGGGCTTGACATACGATTTACTTAAAGCAGCTACATAGCCAAGGTTGAGAAAACAGTCAATGTCAATGTATGCACTGCAGACACCCAAACTCATCCTTTTCATTCTTTACTTGATCTGCACTAGCAGAAGCACACAAGCCTGACTCCATCCCCTCATCCATATATGGTAAGCAGCACAGCCAAAACCTTCTTCAACCAAAAGATAGCGATGCAGTGAGGTTGTAAAGCAGGAGTTTTCAAAGTATTATAATCAACTAGGCAGTTGTTTTAAAAAAACAAGTTCCTAGGCCTTGCTTCGGACATGCTGCTAAATCAGGATCTCCAAGATAGAGCGCTAGAAATGTATATTTTTTTACAAAGTTCCCCTTCAATTTTGATTTGGGGATCATTTTTAAAGGAAAAATTTGTATTTCCCAAAGATTAGCTTATGAATTACTTTCATAAGAATTATGAAAGATACTTGTTAATAGCTGGAAGTGTGGCCAACAATCTGCATTATAGTAATTCTTCCAGTGACTTTATAAATACCAATATCATCCATAACTTAGCATTTATACACTTACAAATGAAATCTTTACAAGGACAAAACCTCAGGATCTATAAAACAATGTAGTAAAAATAGGCAATCATGGTTACAGTATAGGTTAATGTCATCGTGAATATTTATATTGTATTTTTCATTTCATTTAAGCTCCAAGACAATCCTGTGATATCAGAATTGTTACCCTCATTTTACTGACAAACTGAAGTGTTAGGAAGTTCAGGCAACTTACCTGGAATCACAAGATTAATAAATGTATGTAATGAAACTGAAAATTAATGCCACACAGCTATGAAACAGCCTATATTGCTGCAAAATGTGTAATTAAACATTTAATACACCTTTTCATTAAGCAATTGCTGAGGTCTTATCCAATGAAGCAAGATAGAATTATATTTCACTTCCTGTTGGTCAGTTTTATTAACTACTACGCAAATGTTAATGTCATATAATAATAGATTAACCAAGATAAAGTGACTGTTAACTACTAAGCAGCAATGTTTCAGTGATATCCTGGAATCATAAAATGATCTAAGGTAGTCATCATTTTAGTCAACAACCCTGAAACACAAATATTTATAGTTGAGAAGCCCAGAATTATGCTGTCCAAGGTCTCATACAGCTAGTGAGGAGCCCACTCAGCTCCAGACCTTAGTTGCATGACTTTGCTTTACTGATCTTCTTTACACTTGGGCCATGGGCTGGGTACCAATCCATGGCCTGTTAGGAACTGGGCCGCACAGCAAGAGGTGAGTGAGAGGTGAGCAAGCAAAGCTTCATCTGTATTTCCAGCCACACCACATCACTCACATTACCACTTGAGCTCTGCCTCCTGTCAGACCAGTGGCAGCATTAGATTCTCATAGGAGCATGAGCCCTATCGTGAACTCTGCATGCGAGGGATCTAGGTTGTATACTCCTTATGACAATCTAATGCCTGATGATCTGTCACTGTTTCCCATCACCTGAGATGGGACCATCTAGTTGCAGGAAAACAAGGTCAGGGCTCCCACTGATACTACATACATTATGATGAATTGTATAATTATTTCATTATATATTACAATGTAATAATAATATAAATAATAAGTGTGCTTTACACTATCAACTCTGTGTTCTTAAATTCAATATGCTGGTGATTTGCTTTAGTGCTATAATAAAACTTCATTAGACATGATTTTTTTTTTTCAGGGAATAAAACTTTTTTTTCACTTACTGGTTCTTCTAAATTTATTTAATAAAACATTTGTGAAAATGTGTGCTTATCTTGAACTCTGGTAAATTAAAATAGAAAAAGTCTCCCAGATTCCTCATTCTTGAGTTGATCAGTTTTGGTTATAGGACAATAATAGGTCTTTCATAACTATGATGAAACTGTATGGGCCTTAATATTATAAGACCTAGCTTTGATTTTTAAAAAAATTTCACCAAAAATCGTCATAGAAAAGCTATATTAACTTTAACAGAATACTATATCTTCCCTTTCCTGTGGACCTAACTTTTTCTCTTCCTTCTCATTGATGTGACAAACTCTCTAAAATATGTGGACACACATGTATTTTCACAAAAGGAAAAATGATAATGAAAAAGATATCATCAAAGAGAAATGTCCAAAGAATAAACCAAATATTTATGAGCTGTAGATAGACTTGGTGAAAGTTTTCTAATTGAGGCTTTGGTTTATTTATTTTGTTGTTTGAGGAGTGGTAAAGTTTTGCATATGCATTACTCTCATTCAAATTTTACATGACACTTCAGACTAAATATCCATTTCCTGTCAAGTGTTTTATGGTAGGAGCCATTTCTTTCACAAAATCAATATATAATTTCCTAAATAAAGAAAAGGATACTTACAAATCTCTGATTAAAATATGTTGTTATTTCTGAGACAGGTTTAAAAATTTCTGATACACTTTCTTTCCTGCAAATCAAAAAAAAAAAAATGAAAAGCCAGAAAAGGTGGCAATTCAGTTAATTAATCAAATTTTAATTACTTTTGGCTTTTTAAAATATTTAGTTAAAACTGGTTAGCATCACGACTTGCCCGACTTTCTTGGGAAAAGCCAAACCTCTAATTCAATCATAAAATTTTCTATTAAAAGTCAAAAGGACCTTATTTAAAATAATAGTTACTAGTTCCCAGGATTATCAGCTACAAAATCCAGTGGATGATTGCTGCATTGATGCTGTTAGGGATCACTGTCAAGTTGAGAAATCGTCATGTAAAAACAACTGATCATTACAGGAAACATTTGTAGCCACATAAAAATGATTGTAGGACAATATTTGGCATGATACCACCTTTGGACGTTTGTAGAAACACATCAAACTTTGAGAACATAATTGTAGAGAATCTTCTGCACCCTTCATAAGTGTTCTAAGGCATTGTACCAATATTCCCAGTACCCACATAAGGATCATGTCAAAGAAATCGAACCATATTGCTCTTGGAAATCAAAGTAAACTACCTATATATAATTCCTATTCACAGAATAGGCCTTATATTTCAGGACTTAGCATCTGGAATAAGAAGGGTGAAAAATAATGGGAGTATGAACCGTTGGTACACACATTAGCCACTCATAGCAATAAGGCATTTTGCAAATTCCCTTCACCACACTCTTAGTGCCTTCGTTCAGCCTACCATTCACTCTTCCTGGACTGTGGCAACAACATCCTAATGATTTTCTTGTATGCATTCTTGCTTCCTGCAAATCCATTCTTTACACAGGTGTCAGAATTATTTCAAAGCAAACATAGTCATGATTATTCTATAATTAACCCTTATTAGTCTGCCTATCACCTATAATATCAAGTCCAAATCCCTTCACATGGTACATGGTGCCCTCCAAGAACTAGCTCCACCCTACTTTTCCTTCTTTTTCACCCATGCCGAGCCTGCACCAATCCTAAAGCTCCACAATCACACTCCACCAGTAGAATCCTGTGCTTTATTTCTGTCACTCCTATGGCTAAGTTTATTTGCCCTCAGTCTCTTCCCCATCCCCTTGCTAGTATACCTTCTTCATCTATTCTGGGTCAACTTGGGCAATCCTTTCCAGAGCCTTCTATGCCTTCCTCAGTCTAGGCAGGTTCCTCCTACGTGCTCGAAAACACCCTGATACATATCTGTCTTTGTGCTTATCACAGGCATTACACATTTCGGTCTAGTGTCTGCTTTCCTGCTGCAAACAGATTTTTTTAAACCTTTTGAGGGCATGGACTGTGACTCATTTGTCTTGTCCCCAGCACAGTGTTTCACAGATGGTAGGAGGAGTGCAATAAATATCTGTTGCATGTCAAGGTGCATTAGGTGTTTTTCAGACTTGGAGCTGCCTGAATGCATATTTTATCACCTAGGAAGAATTTTAAAATTAAAAGCAGACATCATTTTAACCTTGTTCCCATACTCAGTTTCTCAAATGATATTTGCTCTTCCTCACACTCTTTGTCTGGGACTTTTTCCTTTAATGAGTCCTATATGTCCAGACCAAATATAAGGAACTGAGAAGAGGAAGTGAGAAATAAATGAAGAAATGATGATACAGGAAGTAGTAAAAAGATAAAAATTTGTAAACTTCAAAATGTATATAATGTTATGTAAATATGCACCTCTAAAAGACATGATTAAGAAAACAAAATTTTGTAGTCTTAACATTTTCAACCATTTGGACACAGCCCTTGGCAAAGATCTAGTAGAAACTATAAATAGGAATCTGGTTTAAAGTCTGTTAGATAAAACTAAACATTGCTATTTGCATTTTTAAAATGCATGTTTAAAATATCCCTATAATTTTATAACCCATGATTAATTTTTTTTATTTTACAGAATTCCACCTATCCCTGTCTATTGCAATACAACCAAATAAAAAAATGAGTGAAATAGTTATGTTTTTCCCTCTCCACTTCTTTCTAGTTTATTTTACATACAAATGTACCTATGTGGTGGAATTTGAAAATATTTCATCCATATTTTTTATTACTAATGTCCATAAAAATTCAGATTTAATGAAGATCTGCTTAACACAAAAATACTAAAGGTTAAGAGACTATGAGAGTCTCTACTCATCCTTTAAAATATCAATTATCAAACGTTTTACTAACAAAAGTGCGGTAATTATTGGAAAGGTTTTAAGAAAGGTAGCATGCCCCTAACAAATACAAAAATAATTTTTGTGTGTACTTGTCTCCTATATATGAATATTTATACTATGAATTATAAATGTTACTATACTAATAGTCTAATATAACTTATTTGCTTATATTATTATATATGTTAAATACATTAACAGACATTACAATGAAATAGAAATAGATATAATTAGATGTTCTAATATGCTTTTCATGATCCTCAACATAGGATGCAGAATTTGCATGATGGTTCTACCACACAAGGTCTGATTCTTTCTGCATTCTCGCTCCTTAAACTACAACTAAATCAAGAGAAAACCTGGTGATATACATAGAAGCTAAGACATACCAACAGCCAAAAAAGCCAGTGGACTCATCAAGGTGTATTGATACCCTTTACAAAGGGAGCAGATTACAGTATGGGTGAATCAGCAGAAATTTATCACAGTAGAAACACATGCACATTCAGAATTAGCAGAGATCTTGAATATCATTTAGTCATTTTCAAACTATTGTTTTTAGCTGAGGAATATTTTCTTTTTAAATGAACCCCTTAGTAGAAGGCCTACATTCAAGATAGATACAAGCAGTACTGCTCTGGGTACCTCGGGCTTCAAGGTCTCATGCTATACTCACTCCCCCTCCCTACTCCTCTCCTTCTCAGGGAAAACTACATGTCTACACTGCCACTTTAGAGATGAGGCTACCAGGCTGGAGATGGAACAAGAGCAGCCATTTCAAGAAAGATATAATACCGTAGCTAAAAAGATTAATCTTGGTGCTTGTCCATTCTCCTTTTTGATGGACAACCAGTACTTGCTTGCAGGGACTCGTTTCTCTGTGTGTTCCAAGCTGACTTCAGTTGTAAATATAAATACTTAAACAATAAACTAACAGGATTTAAAGTAATTTTTGGTACTAGGGTTTGGTAAAATAATAAATACTTATTTTTTCTTCCAAATATATATTTTCTAACTTGAGTTTTAATTACTCAAGCAGCTAGCCATGGTAACATGCAAATAATATGCATAAAGGAGAAGAATCTATTGGATCTCAAGCACAAAATTTCAGGGGGTGCCCAAAAGCTCAGAAATCAAGATGAATAACATGTAAATGCCATACATTTTAAAAATAAAAATTTATGCAAAGATTTATGATGATCAAAATATCAAAATTTTAAATACAGCTTTAACCCTGAACTTGTATAACTCAGTCTCATGTATCTCACCTGGTTCAGTGACTTCTCAGAAAAATGAATTGTAAACATAAAAATCATGTCAGGTTAGTTACATTATGCACATTTCTGTCTCAAAACTACAAGGACTGTAGAGGGAGAAGGAAATGTAGTTTGGAGGACAAAGTCCAGTTAAAGGCATGTTCCGGTAAAGGCTTTTATGCTTCAGTCTGTAAGATTGGGGATCAGGTTAAGTTGCTTGGGAACAAATAAGCAACTAGACAACTGTAACACATGAGATAAGACCTAACCTATGCTTTCATCTGAACTATTTTACAATATCAATGAGCTACTAAATCTACTTATAGCTACTTCAATAAGTATTCTTTTTTTTTTTTTTTGAGACAGTCTTGCTGTGTCATCAGGATGGAGTGCAGTGGCACGATCTTGGCTCACTGCAACCTCCGCCTCCCGGGTTCAAGCCATTCTCCTGTCTCAGCCTCCCAAGTAGGTGGGATTACAGACGCCCACCACCATGCCCAGCTAATTTTTTTATTTTTACTAGAGACAGGGTTTCACCATGTTGGCCAGAATGGTCTCGATCTCCTGACCTCATGATCCACCCGCCACGGCCTCCCAAAGTGCTGGGATTACAGGCAGGAGCCACCACACCCGGCCCCTTCAATAAGTATTCTTTTAAATTTTTGTTTTGTTTTTAAAAGCAAGGCATAGTTCTAAAATACATAAAAACCTGAAAGCTAAAATGTGTCCGGTGAACATCATCTGACTATGTGAAGCAAATTAACCACTTCAACTGTAAGACCTACTTTTAAAAGTCTGCTCTTAAGAGGATGCATTTAACCTCTCAAGCATTACAATGGTGAGCACAATCATCACAGAAATGGTGACATTAAAAAGGATGTGCATTCACGAGGATATTTTCTGTCCACCAACTCAAATGAACTAGCTTAGGAGAATGAATGACTCTGCCTGACACATAGTAAGTACTCAACATACATACACTAAATGAATAAATTAATGAAATGATAAAAGTTGAGAGATGGCTGGAAACAGGTATACTAGGACCAGATTATAAAGAACATTGAAACAGAGACGTCATGCTGTGGGCCACTGAGCAAAGGTTTGATGAGGTTTAACAATAACAACAACAACAACCACCACCACCACCACCACCACCAAAAACACATGATTCCTTATAGAAAGAATGGGTGATGGGTAGATTGGTAGTGAGCAAATAGCAAATCTAGCAAAAGTTTTGGAAATAGCCTTGGCAATGGTCTATGAGGACCCACTAAAGGGTGAAGACTATAAAACTGGAGGAAGACGAGTGTGGCGAATACTGTTGACCGGTTTCCATTTGCTCCTCTGCCCCTTTCTATAGAAATAGAAAGTTTAGCTGGGTACATAGCCACAGATAGTATTACCAAGCCTTCCATGCTGCTAGGTCATGCAACTGAATTTCTTCATTAACTATGGCTAGGTGCAGAAGTGATACATTCCACTTCCAGGTTACATACTGAAAGAGAAAGGAATGTGATCTCTCCTTCCTCTTTTGCCCTTTCTGAAAACTGGACTGCATCTGTGGTTATGAGTCA